CGATCGGACGGTAAATAAAGTTTTTATTTGGTACCCCGTCGAAAAATAACGGTTTTTCGCAAATATGACCTTGACCTTTGACCTCGATCGGCGATTTTGTTGATTGTGACGCATCCTTGTGTGGCGGCACATGTTTTGTGTAAGTTTCAGCCCGATCGGACTGTAAATAAAGTTTTTATTTGGTACCCCGTCGAAAAATAACGGTTTTTCGCAAATATGACCTTGATCTTTGACCTCGATCGGCGATTTTGTTGATTGTGACGCATCCTTGTGTGGCGGCACATGTTTTGTGTAAGTTTCAGCCCGATCGGACGGTAAATAAAGTTTTTATTTGGTACCCCGTCGAAAAATAACGGTTTTTCGCAAATATGACCTTGACCTTTGACCTCGATCGGCGATTTTGTTGATTGTGACGCATCCTTGTGTGGCGGCACATGTTTTGTGTAAGTTTCAGCCCGATCGGACGGTAAATAAAGTTTTTATTTGGTACCCCGTCGAAAAATAACGGTTTTTCGCAAATATGACCTTGACCTTTGACCTCGATCGGCGATTTTGTTGATTGTGACGCATCCTTGTGTGGCGGCACATGTTTTGTGTAAGTTTCAGCTCGATCGGACGGTAAATAAAGTTTTTATTCGGTACCCCGTCGAAAAATAACGGTTTTTCGCAAATATGACCTTGACCTTTGACCTCGATCGGCGATTTTGTTGATTGTGACGCATCCTTGTGTGGCGGCACATGTTTTGTGTAAGTTTCAGCCCGATCGGACGGTAAATAAAGTTTTTATTTGGTACCCCCGTCGAAAAATAACGGTTTTTCGCAAATATGACCTTGACCTTTGACCTCGATCGGCGATTTTGTTGATTGTGACGCATCCTTGTGTGGCGGCACATGTTTTGTGTAAGTTTCAGCCCGATCGGACGGTAAATAAAGTTTTTATTTGGTACCCCGTCGAAAAATAACGGTTTTTCGCAAATATGACCTTGACCTTTGACCTCGATCGGCGATTTTGTTGATTGTGACGCATCCTTGTGTGGCGGCACATGTTTTGTGTAAGTTTCAGCCCGATCGGACGGTAAATAAAGTTTTTATTTGGTACCCCGTCGAAAAATAACGGTTTTTCGCAAATATGACCTTGACCTTTGACCTCGATCGGCGATTTTGTTGATTGTGACGCATCCTTGTGTGGCGGCACATGTTTTGTGTAAGTTTCAGCCCGATCGGACGGTAAATAAAGTTCTTATTTGGTACCCCGTCGAAAAATAACGGTTTTTCGCAAATATGACCTTGACCTTTGACCTCGATCGGCGATTTTGTTGATTGTGACGCATCCTTGTGTGGCGGCACATGTTTTGTGTAAGTTTCAGCCCGATCGGACGGTCAATAAAGTTTTTATTTGGTACCCCGTCGAAAAATAACGGTTTTTCGCAAATATGACCTTGACCTTTGACCTCGATCGGCGATTTTGTTGATTGCGACGCATCCTTGTGTGGCGGCACATGTTTTGTGTAAGTTTCAGCCCGATCGGACGGTAAATAAAGTTTTTATTTGGTACCCCGTCGAAAAATAACGGTTTTTCGCAAATATGACCTTGACCTTTGACCTCGATCGGCGATTTTGTTGATTGTGACGCATCCTTGTGTGGCGGCACATGTTTTGTGTAAGTTTCAGCCCGATCGGACGGTAAGTAAAGTTTTTATTTGGTACCCCGTCGAAAAATAACGGTTTTTCGCAAATATGACCTTGACCTTTGACCTCGATCGGCGATTTTGTTGATTGAAACGCATCCTTGTGTGGCGGCACATGTTTTGTGTAAGTTTCAGCCCGATCGGACGGTAAATAAAGTTTTTATTTGGTACCCCGTCGAAAAATAACGGTTTTTCGCAAATATGACCTTGACCTTTGACCTCGATCGGCGATTTTGTTGATTGTGACGCATCCTTGTGTGGCGGCACATGTTTTGTGTAAGTTTCAGCCCGATCGGACGGTAAATAAAGTTTTTATTTGGTACCCCGTCGAAAAATAACGGTTTTTCGCAAATATGACCTTGACCTTTGACCTCGATCGGCGATTTTGTTGATTGTGACGCATCCTTGTGTGGCGGCACATGTTTTGTGTAAGTTTCAGCCCGATCGGACGGTAAATAAAGTTTTTATTTGGTACCCCGTCGAAAAATAACGGTTTTTCGCAAATATGACCTTGACCTTTGACCTCGATCGGTGATTTTGTTGATTGTGACGCATCCTTGTGTGGCGGCACATGTTTTGTGTAAGTTTCAGCCCGATCGGACGGTAAATAAAGTTTTTATTTGGTACCCCGTCGAAAAATAACGGTTTTTCGCAATTATGACCTTGACCTTTGACCTCGATTGGCGATTTTGTTGATTGTGACGCATCCTTGTGTGGCGTCACATGTTTTGTGTAAGTTTCAGCCCGATCGAACGGTAAATAAAGTTTTTATTTGGTACCCCGTCGAAAAATAACGGTTTTTCGCAAATATGACCTTGACCTTTGACCTCGATCGGCGATTTTGTTGATTGTGACGCATCCTTGTGTGGCGGCACATGTTTTGTGCAAGTTTCAGCCCGATCAGACGGTAAATAAAGTTTTTATTTGGTACCCCGTCGAAAAATAACGGTTTTTCGCAAATATGACCTTGACCTTTGACCTCGATCGGCGATTTTGTTGATTGTGACGCATCCTTGTGTGGCGGCACATATTTTGTGTAAGTTTCAGCCCGATCGGACGGTAAGTAAAGTTTTTATTTGGTACCCCGTCGAAAAATAACGGTTTTTCGCAAATATGACCTTGACCTTTGACCTCGATCGGCGATTTTGTTGATTGTGACGCATCCTTGTGTGGTGGCACATGTTTTGTGTAAGTTTCAGCCCGATCGGACGGTAAATAAAGTTTTTATTTGGTACCCCGTCGAAAAATAACGGTTTTTTCGCAAATATGACCTTGACCTTTGACCTCGATCGGCGATTTTGTTGATTGTGACGCATCCTTGTGTGGCAGCACATGTTTTGTGTAAGTTTCAGCCCGATCGGACGGTAAATAAAGAAGTACCTTATGGTTGTTTATAGCCAGAGTGGTTTTTTGCCCCTATAGGTCAAAATATTTGACCTAGGAAAAAATGAGTGATATTTTTGGAATCAGCGTGTCAAGATCTATCGTTTGGCATAGTTTGGCGATGTTTGGAACTCGACGCTGAAAACGAATACGAATACGACGCTAACTTGATGGACATTTTTTTAACCACCTTATCTCCGATAAAAATGATAAAATGATGTGTAGAATGTTATCACGAGCCAGAAGTGTTTGTTTTTTACCATCACTACCTACTATATCACGATTAGGTATGTAGGGGAGAGCGGGGAGAGTTGTATCATGTCCAAGTTGTATCAGGGCGAATTGTGCCAAACTTATCCAATGGATGGCGCTCGCGACACGACCAGCCGACGAGGTTTTCCGGGCGCCATCTTTCCCTGTTCTGTCTTGTGGCTGAGTGGACGCGTCTCGAGGTGAGAGCCGATTTTATGTTTTTTTAATGTCATTCTAAAAAAATAAGTTGCAAGAAAATGTGTGTTCTGGGCATTTAGATGTGCACGAATTTGAAAGATCTCCGTAGCGGTGGTGAGGGTAGATTCTAAGACTGCGTGAGTGAAAACGGATTTCTCCAGCTGTCCGCTGTTTTTTAGCACGAGGATGTTTTTTTTTCCAAGATGGCGGCTAGGTACATGTTGTATCAGAGCCGGGTGGGGTATGCTGTAACATGTATGTATGTATGTATGTATGTATGGGTATGTTGCTTTTGATCGCGAAAGCTAAGCCCTGGCTCGCGTTTGTAGGTAGCTAGTCAATGCTCGTTCCATTTCGGCACAATGTGTTGGCTTCTTTGCTCTTAACGGGCCACTTTTGCGTCTAGTCTGTTGATGTTTCGTTCGGATTGCATTGACCTAAGTTTGGTCTAATAAAGTGAAGCCTTTGAGCATACCTATACATTGTATTAACCCCATTTAATGTTGTTGTTATGTTCAAAACCAGTAGCAAGCACACTCCCTGAAACGTGAAATAGTGATACAAATTACCCCACCATGTGATACCTACAACTCACCCAAGCCATGGGGCAAGTTGTATCAAAAACATTGTTCTATTCGGGAGACCGTAGAAGAAAAACTGGTAGAGGTAGCGGAAAAGTTACTTTGCACAAAAAAGCAGAAGAATCAAGGAAGGGGATGGTATGGAAATAATGAGTTTATCACGGATAGTTACGAGGCTATGGGTCTCGGAGTAAAAACTGATACAACCCACCCCACTCTCCCCTACCTACCGTTTGCCACGTTGACTATAACTAAGTTAATTAAAGGGACCCTCCCACCTTCAAAAAAGTTTATGAATTGGCATGAAAGTGATGTCGCTCGGTTCAGAAAGAGCGAAAACGAATATCTACCAAATTTCACCGAAAAATATTCACCGGTTTTCAGGATATTAGCCTTTTACATTTGTTTACTTTTTTGGGACCTCCGCTGTTTCTAGCGACTTTATTTTAGAAGTGCGGCGTTTGCGGCAGATGTTGCGCGCAAATAGCATATACCACCGCGTGCTAAAAAACGTTTTAGTCAAACATTTAAAAATCGTTAGATATTTGCGCTGACGTCACACATTCAGAGGGGTATTCCTAAGCATTAGCCCCTCTGAATCAAAATGCTGCAATTTTGAAATTCAATATTTCCGATTTAAGGCATTTCTCGATGTTGTGAGTGCCGAAACCGGTAATTGTGAGCCAGGGACCCCATTTTGGCTATCTCAACTCAAATCTAATGTTAAGGTGGGAGGGTCCCTTTAAGCTCGTCCGGTCATACAGATCTCAAGCGGCGCCGAGATGCATATGCCACTGCACTGCCTTCCGAAGGGCAATGTTCCTCAGCTGTTTATTATTGCAGTTCGATTTTGCTCAAGGTAAGATGTGATTAGGTACCTACGATTAAAATGTTTTCATTCGTTTCTTACGAGCATTTATTCCTTCGACAGCTAGCGACGTTATCCAGGAGAACGAGAAGCGACGCTATTATTTAATCCGCACGGATTACCTACATATACCTAAAAGTTGCTGAACGGGTCTCAACTGCGTTACTCGCTTGCGCTGCACTGTCGGACAAAATTAAAAGACAAACAGTTTTAGGTATAGCCACACATTCATAGGCACATTGCCGTTTGCACGAACGAATGAAGCATATTTAACTAGCATTATGCGATATGTCGTATATCTATTTAACGGCTAAAGTTAATAGCACAATAATAGGATAACCATAGCTGAAGCTCATGTAGCAGTACCTATAGCGTTATAGGCGCTGCGGATAAATGGCACAACCCCTAGAATTTACCCCTGTAAGTTTTATGGAGGAAATAGATAAATGAGAGGGAGGAACATAGGGAGAAAAGGCGAGGAAGAGAGAGAGAGAAAGAGAGAGAGAGAGAGAGAGAGAGAGAGAGGGGAGAGAGAGAGAGAGAGAGAGAGAGAGAGAGAGAGAGAGAGGGAGGGAAGGAGGGAGGAAGGGAAAGAGGGAGAAAGAGATAGCCCAGCTAGGTAAGTGCCCTGGCAAGTGGCAAGCGTCCTTGTTTCCTAAGGAAACTTTCACTTTCCGCTCTCTACGCCCTTACCCTGTGATCTAGGATCACGTTGAAGTCATCCGGCTGCAGGAAGATGGCAAACTGCCTGACCTCGGTGGACGGCTTCTTGGCGCCCTTGGGCAGGCGCACGTGGAACTGGTGCAGCATGCACGACAGGAAGGTGAAGAACTCGGTCCTGGCCATCGACTCTCCCAGACAGGCGCGCTTGCCCAGGCCGAATGGCACGAAGTAGTCGTCCTTCCTGAACTTGCCGTCCTCGCCGATGAAGCGCTCCGGTCGGAAGACGTCGGGGTCTCCCCAGTGGCCGCGATCGTGGTGCGCCGACTGCAGGTGGATCATCACCGTGGTGTCCTTCGGCAGCGTGTAGCCGCCCAGCTGCGCGGGACCGACGCTCGAGCGGTGTGGCACCGCCAGCGGCACGAACGAAGTGTACCGCCAGATCTCCGTCATCACCGCCTCCGTGTACGGCAGGCGCGGCCGGTCCTCGTAGCTCGGCAGGCGGCCCTCGCCCACCACCTCGTCCAGCTCCGCCTGCACCTTCGCCTGCACGTCCGGATACAGCACCATCAGCAGAAGAGCCCACGTCATGGACAAGGACGTCGTCTCACTGCCGGCGATGAAGAAGTCCAGGCACAATGTCCGCAGGTTGTTCTCATCGAACCCACGCTTCTCAGCATCGGGGCGTTGTGATTCGATCAAAAAGGCGTCGATGAAGTCACGAGGGTGGCTGGGGTCGAGAGTCGCCCTGTGCTCGGCAATGCAGGGGCCAAATAGCCCCTGCATCGCAGAGTGGTAGACCTTTATTTTGTTGAAGCCCGACGACTCGGGAGCGACAAAGCGCGCCGAGGGGAACAAAAAGAGGATGTTTTGCGGGCCCGTAATCTGTGTGAACTCTGTGACAATATCCTGGAGCCTTTGACGCTCGGGATCGTCATAGTCAAATCGTCTGCTTGCGACCATTTTCCAAATGATGTTCAGCACAACTGTGATAAAGAGGTTGTTGGCCTTCACCTCCTGACCAACTACCTTCTTCAGATGCTCTGCGAACAGAGCATACTCATCTGCGATCATTGTGTTCAACACGCTCTTCCCCATGCCCAGGTCGCGGAGATGCTTTAGTGCGAATCGTCTTTGTTCTTGCCACAATGGTCCTTCGTTGAAGAATATTCCGGCTCTCTTCATCTCCGATAGATACATGACAGTGAATAGTTCGGGTCTGCCAGTAAGTTCAGTTATGTTGCCGGCTTCTTTCACAAGCTCTCCACCGAAAACGTAGACTAATGGTTGACCGAACGGGTCCACCATACCGATGATGTCTGACTTGTGCTCGGATCGCAAACGGTTGAGATGTTTCTGGAAGTCGTTCGAAGCAGTTCGGACTAAGTCGATGACGTTGCCGAAGATTAAGAATGTCGGAGGACCTGAGAAATAAGAAATGCTATAACACAGTCGGGCCGTGACATTTTGATTAGCAATAATAGCGGGAACGGTTCAATACGTTTCTATATATCAATAGAACATCTTCGAAAAAATGGACTCAACGGACACCGCTGAAAACGTCACAAAACCGATTTCTTATTACGGTATGATTCATTTAACCTTATCCTCAATCCTTTAAGTAAAATGTGATGGCAAAAATACAATACAAAAACGATATGCTTCGAGCAGAGCAGTGCTCGAAATATATCATTTTTTGTGCTATTTTTGCCATCACATTTTATTTAAATGTTTGAGGATAAGGTCAAATGACTCATACCGTAATAACAATGATTTTCCTCGTAAAGCTAAACCTAATCAAAAACCGATTTCTTGTATACTTATTACTTATACATAGGTGAGGCTATAATTTGGACGTCACAGACAGAAAGTTTAGGTAGGTACATATATTTTTCAAAACTAGAGCTTTAGAGATAAAGCCGACCAAAAAATACTTGTCTAAACTATGGCGCGCACAAAAATGTTAATACAGCCTTAGTGACCTGAGGCCTGGTTAGCCGGTTATGGCGGGCCAATGTGATCGGTCGACCTAGAGCAGCACTTCCATTCGATAGAATAAATCAAGCGAGATAAATGCTTGCGCAGGACACGTATTCAACAAACAGCCGTAGGCTTAGGTATATGCGCAATCCAACGATGCACAGTGCACACCTACCAATGAAAGAACTGATTAGGTGCTCGTAAACGGAATAATTACAGGCACTTACATTATATGGACTTTATGAAACATATGCAGAATACAGTCTTAAGTACTCGCCGAAATCATCACGAACCAAATAATGCCAGCCTATAGCACTTATCGTGCACGGCGCTACTGACCTGGTGGAAAGTTGGGCGGTCGTTTCGGTCGAGTGGCCCATAGGTAGGTCACCAGAAGGACAACAAAGAAGACGACCGCCGTCCACATCGCGCTGCGCTCGTGGCTGGGGCTGGCAGCGCTCTGACTGGCCTTCAAGGGCGAACGAACTGCCGCCGCCTGGAGCCGCGAGCTCGCAGCTAGATACAAACAGTACGCCTAGGCGTTATGTAACCCTGTGGTATCGCTGTGTATACTGATCGACGTTTATGTGAACAGCGGACAAATGCAGTAAGTGAATATCTTGTAACGGTGAGATAGAGGCTCAGTTGCACTTATCGGACGGAAAAAAGTTTAAATTGCTACGCAGCGTTTAACTGTACGTTTGTGACGACGTAGGTTACATGTGTGAAGAGGCCATTTAAAGCGCCAAGTCATGCTTGGTGCTTGCTCAAGGACGCTGATCGACGCTCGCAGACCTAGTGCTGAAACAAGGACCGTCTCTTGCCGGATGGGTGCGCAGGCTGATCTACATATTCAGCAGTTGAGCAGTTAAACAGGACAAAGAATTACGGGATGGATGGCATCGACTGCCTTGCTTCACTTCACGGACTATGTAAGTGGATCGCCTCTGCTTTAATGCTGCAGGTACGTTAGAAGGTAAATTTATCTACCTAACACAGTGCAAAAGAAGTTCCGTCACAACTCACAACTTCTATCTCAGTGTTTGAGAAATGCTCGATAAATGCGGCTTATAATTCAACGAGCGAGCGAGTACGGATCTCGAAGTGAGCCCGTGCATCATTACGGAACGATGAACAGCTTCGTTATGAGCGGTCCGACCCGGCTCTGTCTGAAACACTTTTGGAGAATTCGATAGGGCTGCGCCGATCTTCGGAACCGCACATCCGTTTGACCGCAAAGGGTTTCCTCCCTGCGGAATATAGCCCCGTCCCCTCTACCCAGATAGGTATTAGCCGTTTTCACGACGGCCATCTGGTACACATTTGGTGCACATCTGGTGCAGATTAGGTGCAGATTCGATCAAATTAGGTTCAGTGTGTTTCCTAGTATCTATCAGCTAGGGTTGCACTATTTGCTTATATGCCTGCTTTGTCATATTATCAGAGATTATCATCGATAGTAAAACACTGGAATAAATTCATAAAATAAAGATATTTGCTGTAAAAGAGATTAGGTGCAGATTTGGTCAAAGTACCTAGGTGCACTCGCCGGATAGCCCGTCGTGAAAACGGTTATTGGATCCTATGGTGCACCTATTCTGATGCATTGCGACCCGGTCAGTACACGTCTGACGTGCCAAATTAGGAGCGTCGAAGTTCTTCCGCTCCAATTCACCCACAAAAGGTGGGCCGATTGCGCTGCTGAAACCTGGGGTCTCGGTGAACGACTACCGTCTCTGCGATAATAATCATGAGCATTGCGCACGGTTAGAATAGGGTAGCCTGGGGCACGATGCCCCAGATGATTTATTTTGCTACATAACTTTTGTCCCACATCACCTGGAAGGTCAAATTTGTGCTCGGTGCGTTATTTGGACATTTTACTTGTTAAATTCCACCCCTCAAATTCATTCACTTACGATCGGACTCCCAGTTAGGGGCAACTGCAACTACAATGCACAAATGCCCCATTTGCATTTGTGAAGCAACTGCAAATGGGGCATTTTGCCCCAACCCCAGGGCAAAACGCCCCACGCCCTGGGGCAAGAAGCCCCATGCTCTAGAATCTAGATTTGTACTCGCCAAATCTAAATCTATTAAGTCTAAATTAAACATGGTATACCTAATATAGTTGGCTAAATCTTATGTATATGTTACAGGGAGTATGCGATTTCAGTTAGTTTGCAACGACCCTAGGGTGGTTGTAACCTCCCTGAACGATCAGTTTGTTTGCAACGACCCTAGGGACGTTACAAAATAACTGCTCGTTCCGGGACGTTGTAACGAAACTAGGGTCGTTGCAACCTCCCTAGTTAGTATGCAACGAACCTAGGGTTGTTACAAAATAACTAGGGAGTTTAAGAATTCATCGAGTCTCGTTTCACAGGAGGGCCGTCAACAATCTTGACCAATGAAAATCTTGTTCAATCTAATCTAGTTCAGTCTAAAAGAAAAAAAGAACAAAATTTAAACATTCAGCTTAGGAGCATTTCACGACGGCCATCTAGTGCACATTTTGTGCAGATTAGGTGCACAGTTGGTGCAGTTTTGTGCAAATTAGATGGACATTCGCCAGGAAGCCCTTCGTAAAAACGGCCATTATCCGCTCGTTTCCAGTCTTTTTGTGATTATAAACGTTCAAACATGTGAAATGATGGTGGTCCCATGCATTATGGTGGGTGTCAAGGTCACGTGAAGGTCAGGTCAATGTCATTGACCTTTGATGACCTTAGTTCACTTTTTCTGGGTTCATATATTTTTAGGCTAGTTTTTGGAGCTGATTTCGAATTTAGCACCCATTTGAACATTAAAGAAGTAATTTTGGCGCCTTCGTACCATGTCACGAAGCTGCCAGTGATGATTGACACCTACTATGGACAGCTAGCAAGACACCTACTGGTTGACCTGACCTGACCTGACCCGACCTGGCCTAAAAACATCAAGACATCATCGGTGATCAAAGCTAATATGAAATTCGTGATCAGCGCCCCGAAAAAACTCGTAACAACCTAACTCTCCAAAGTTTTAACAGGTCCCGATTTTCCCGACTTTAGAGTCACTGACCTGACCTGGAAGGTCAACCCATAACCTATCCCCGCCCTGTGCGTTTGCGGCTAGCAAAACACCAATAAGGGCGAGAGTTAACACCGCAAGACCTGGTTTTCTACATACGCGCCGGCCGGGGGGAGGGTTGGTACGACCCTCTCGTCATTTTTCACCCCTGATGGAGTTAGAGCGTCGCGGAAAAAACGAGCGTGTGTGCCGTTAGGAGACACAGTAACTAGTACCCGAGTTTAAGGTTTCAGGTCAACCGGTGACCGTCAGTTCAAGTGACCCAAGACACGGGTTCGGTTTTTGATTAATAACTTCTTAAAAAACAGTCGCTGAGCGCGATTTTAGCATCAACGTGCTCACCTTGCTTACGCACATCGAATGGTATACTTTTTGTTCGGGTGAGGTCAACTTGAGGTGTTGACCTCGGGTCAAGGTCAGGTCAAAGACCCCTAGGTCGCGAAATTGGTCAAAGGAGGTCATGTTGCATATTATTCGATTCGGCAGGTCTTCCTGTGTCCATCGGTGGCTTAACCGTCTCGCTAGCTCAGTTTGATCGGGAGTTATTGACGAAAAGCTCGTATGACCCTAGTGACGTCATAAATGACGTCATGCAACGTCAACAATGCAAAATTGAAGCATCTAACCTTGCAAGGAAGGCATTAAATCACGATCCGTGTGCTTGAGATAGTTTGAGATCGTTCCCGGCGCCAGAATAGCAGTTTTCATTTTTCTCAATGGACTTTTAGTGGTGAGGTCACGTGACCGACCTGACCTCATGTGATCTTTAGGAAAAATCTTAGAGGTACAATGTGAGACATCTAGAAGATGCACGTACTGTAAGCTTCATCACCCTGTAAAAACTCCTCTGGGACTGAGGGCGTTGCGAAGTTGCGGCATCTGAGGACCGTCCACTTATGACGTCATAGGTCAGTAACCTGACCTGACCTGAAAATCTGGTTGATATCACGAGATCTTGCTTGAAGCAAAGGTCAGGTATGCGTAGTTTCAGCTCTCTGTAGCTGGCGTGTTCGGAGCTATCGCGAAAAAAAAAACTTGGGGGGGGGGGGGGCGAGGATAAAGCCAGGCTGGGTTGGGTAAGTTTGGGTCAAGTAGAAGCGTCCCACCCGCACAACCTGTTTATATTAGCAGGTGTACCTAAACCACCAGCGACAGCTTCGTAGCAAGTTGCATTGGCGTTACAACTATACCTACGTACTTCTCAAATGTCTCAACGAATGCTGGATTCAAAATAAGCTAAAAAAAAATTCCCTTAAAATCGTAAAATTTGAAACAGTCACCCGAAGTCACCAAACGTCAATGACCTTGACCTGGCCGACAACTGACAATTCAACTTGAAACCCATCATGATGCATGGGACAACCATCAGTTCACATGTTGGCACGTTTATATGTAATCACAATAGAAGTCCGGAAACGCAATTTTATGTGCGCTAACATATATGGCAAATAATTTCGGTCTGCCGTGGTCTCAGAAATCAGATCAAAGATCAAATGCCATTGGTTTCAGGATCATGAACTGTATAGGGAATGTGTAACCAGTAACGTAGATAAGTTTGAGGACACTCAAAGTTTCGTCACGATCGGCCGCTTTTAGCGCGAGATAATCGCGAAATAAAACGAGGGGTTTTATCCGACCCGCACCCCTAAAAGTGTGAGGGATAACCCGCAAACGGATAACGACGGATATCCATCACACCTACCCCAGTAACTATATTTTCTACATGTAAGCAAATGCTGGCGATATAATGCAGCCAACATTATCACAGTTACGTGCTTTGTCCCGGGCACCACATATACTCCTTGGCTGAATGTTCAAATTTTGTTCTCCTTTTCTTTTATACTGAACTATGTAGATTGAACAAGATTTTCATTGGTCAAGATTGTTGACGTATCCTGTCCTGATTGAGGTGTCCTGTGGAACAAAACTCGATGAATTCTTAAACTCCCTAGTTATTTTGTAACAACCCTAGGTTCGTTGCATACTAACTAGGGAGGTTGCAACGACCCTAGTTTCGTTACAACGTCCCGGAACGAGCAGTTATTTTGTAACGTCCCTAGGGTCGTTGCAAACAAACTGATCGTTCAGGGAGGTTACAACCACCCTAGGGTCGTTGCAAACTAACTGAAATCGCATACTCCCTGTAACATATATGAGAGATCCGTTAGACCTCTGGAGGCACGGCACTGAAGTTAGCATGTCTTCCATGCTGTCAGGTGTTCAGCTATGACACTATTGTATGAGCTGGTTTTTCACCTGCCTCATAAGGCCAAATAATAAATTATTGCAATGCAAATGTTAACAAAATGCTTCCTTTGAGAAGCATTTATATGTATTTTTCAGTTGTTGAGAAAAATACATATAAATGCACAGGAACTTACTGTTCGCTATATAGCTACCGTAATAGCTACCGTATATAGCTACCGTACATTAGGAAGTGGGTAGTCCGAACAACACATGAGATAAAACGCCCCATGTTTTTTTTTTTTACCCCGCAACCTACTGGGACGTTTTACCCCATCACGTAGTTCGGTCAGAGAACACCGCCTTGCGCTCCAGCAAGACATAATTTAACACGAACTAACACGGCATTATAAGCGTTAGACAATAGTTGTTCAAAATACATAAAAGTCGTTAACCCTCGCCGGACCTATTGATTTCATACGCGCCGGCCGAGCTGGGGGCGGGTACGACCCCCCTCGCTGTTTCGCCCCTGGTGGAGCTAGCGCGTCGCGGAAAAAAAAACGAGCGTGTGCGCCGTTACGAGACGCAGAGATTGGTACCCAATTTTAAGGTCCTAGGTCAACCGGTGACCTCTGAGGTCAGGTCAAGTGCCCCAAGGTACAGTTCAGTTTTTTGTGAATAACTTCGCAAAAAATAGCCGCAGAGCCGCGATTTTGGCAGCATCGTGTTCGCCGCGCTCAG